CCTGATTTAGGTAGTTTTCTTTCTCCCCTTGAAGATAGAAAAGGATCAGCAAAGCTGAAGAGTAAACACAAATGTCAGCCTAAAGGACATGAGGAATAGCTTAAGTTTTCTTTTTCCTTAAAAGAAACTAATTACTTTGTAATTAATCACAGTCTAAAGAACACTACTATACCTTATAATCAAGCAATCATGCATATTTAACTGGAAAACACAATCACAAGAATCCCTACACTCAATCACAAAAACTTATAATGTGGTTGTGGAGATAAAAAGTGAAACAGAAATGATACCAAAAAACAAAGTAAAATATAATCAGTACTCCACTGCACTGTGTGGAAAGAAGTGTCAGATTTGCTGTACACAGTTTAAGCAAGTGGTCCATGAAAATCACTTTATTTTTCATGTGATGAGATTTTCTGGTCTTTAGAAAATGAGGTGTTATAGTATGGTAATCTACATAGCCAAGAACCAAGAAGTATGTTAAAAAAAAAAGGCTTATGAGCAATTCAAACAGCTACTGTTAAATTAAAGCAGAATATTCACACAAACTCTATGGGGCCCTGGCTTCCTGACCCCAGAGCAGATCAGATACAGGACCCGGAAGAGAGCCATCACTAGGAGATGAGACAATGGCCACTGCTTACCTACAATACTGGGGGAAAAGGAAAGGTACCAAAACCAGCACTACACAGCCTGGTATTCTGGAAGTCACTATTTCATAGTACAAGAACTGCTATTCATAATCATGACTAAATCAGTTTAAAAAACTGTATTTGACAAAACTTATCCAAAAATTTCAAATATAATAGATTTAAACTTTCAAAAGTTTAGTTTTAGTATTGGGATAATTCATCTCCATGGAACATCTTTTTCTACAAGTATTGTGTGTATGAAAACCTTACTATACACACTGAAAAATATCAGCTTGGCGGTGAAAGCCTTTATCGGAAGTACGTGCTGATTATGTATTATCTGCATGGTAAAGCAGTAACAAAACTTTGCTCTTGGGTATCTCAGCCAACTTCCTGGAAAACTAGTTATTAATAAATGAATTTTAAGTAAAACTTGTATCCTTTTCAAAATGTCCTATTAAAAATATTGGCGCCAGCAAGCAATAATAAAGTAGTGGAATAGGAGTGCAACTAGATCAACCTGGGAGTGCCCAAAAGATTAATGGGATAAAAGGGAAAGAGAAGTAGCTTCAGAAAGAAAGAAAGTAGAAAACAATGGAATGGGGGAAAGCAAGAAGAGACCAGAGTTTTGAAGAGGTGGTAAGCTGGAGCATGAAGCTCATCCAGGAGGGCTGACTCAAGTTCTTGGAAAGAAAAACCTGGCGTGACAAGCAGTGAATGACAGGGCTGGACCAGATGCTTTTATTTCTCAAAAGTATAGAAAACAGGGCTGTACATGAAGCTTTTTAAAATAATCATTCTCAGTCAGGTTGAGGGTATTAGACATAAGTCTGATGTCCCCTTACTTTGTCTAAGTAGTTTGTACAAACAAACTACTTTGTTTGTAGTTATAGTCTTCTTTGAACAACAACAAAAAAGGTTTTCTTGGTATCTCACATGATTTTCACTGGTAGCAAGTGAAAATCTAGGTTTTCTTCTTATGTCTTATCTAGGTGCAGCTATCTGTTTTCATGAGACCCACCATGTTTCTAAAAAAGACTCTGAACTACCTGATTTAGGACACCATTCCTGCTAGCAGACTTTTGTTTCAGCCATTTTTTTTTTTAACTTCATCTCATGAATGAGCACTGCTAATTCTCTTCCTTCTAACTTGTTATTTTTCCTCCCTGCCACTCCTATCTGCACCCTTGGTGGTGCTTCTCTTATCAAATGCTTTCAGGGACAAGAAGTGACGGTACCAAAATGCCACAACACAACATTATAAACTACCACTGAGGTGTGTTTTCCAATTTCCCAGGCATGGTCAATGTAAACGTTACAGAAAGAGTTCTACTTCTTATTTTCTCATGTGCCCAAGATATGATTGAGAATAATTCACTCAGCAAAAATAATACCGAAGCATATTTTCTTTCATTAAAGTTAGGTATTCCTTCCCCCCAACAGAGACTACAAATAAAATCTCTATTATTCCCTCCTGAAATGAACACTTTCTCTCTTTTTTTTTGGACTATACCACACAGCTTGTGGGATTTTAGTTCCCTGACCAGGGATCAAACCTGTGCCCCAGGGAGCTGAAGTGCTGAGTCCTAACCTCTGGACCACCAGGGAAGTCCCCATAATTGAAACTTATACTTAATATCCACTGTACCCATTTTTTTTCTGGATAGGAAACTTTCATAACTTCTTTGCATCTCCCTCCCCACCCCTATTAGTTAGCCAGATATCTTCTTATTCTAAAGTCAGTGCATGTCTCTCCTTAAGACAAACCACCCGGTAACCTAACTCAGTTGTTCCTGACAAATTTTCTGTTCCAGCAAATCTGAGGGGAACAGTATACTTCTTTCTATCTGTATTTATCATTGCTAATGACAATAAACCATAAAAGAGTCACATGGGAGGGGAAAAGTGTTAGGAGGTATATATGGCAGCCATAAATCTGAGTTTACCATGCTACTGAGTTCCCTAGTGGTTGGCAGGATTTTTTTAAAAAGATTTTCTTAATTGTCGAAAATAATGAAATATTCACCCTAACTTTGAGGTGCTTTGTGCTTAAGCTAGTAGCCTGGGTCAGAAACTGATAATGCAGACCACAAAAGAGGTACCTTTCAGAATGGCCATGAAATAGAGACTGCTATTTCCAGTGAAGGGTGAGAAGATTGGAGCAGAGCTGCAAGAAGCCAGTGAGCCTGGGGGATGGGACGTGGAGGCAGCAACAAGAGCTAAGAACTTTGTGGGGGGAAAGTTACTCAAACTCTAATTCCCTCCTAGACAGGGTGCAGCCTGCCTGTCAGTTTTTTCTCTAATAAGTACAGAAGTAGCTGGTAGAGTTCTAAGGATGAAGACTCAAGAGCTGGTAAGTAGCTGCGAGTGACAAAGGGAATCCTGAGCCGGAAACACATTTATGACGCTCGACCTACCCTAGCACATGTTTGGGCTCCTCTAATGCTGTGGAGTTGACACGTAACTCTGACCGCTTGGTAGAAGCAGTTCAAAATGATGAAGGGAATCCCGGTATACTCAGGAGTGACCTAATGATAGTACTATGGAGCTTCAAAGGATAGCTACTGATTTTTTCCTTAAGGAAATACAAAGACCGTAAACATGCTACAGGGTATTCCAAACACAACACAGATTTGGGATTACACTGTAGCAGCTGACTTCTGAAACATGGAAAATGAAAGTAGTTAATGTAGGAACAGTGGGGAAGGGAATTATTTCAAGATTTTTCTGTTGTATTTTTGCTTTTTTTTTTTAATAGAAAAAACAAAGCAAATTATTTCATGAAGTCCACTGCTTTTCTAACAGATTGGGTTACTTCATCAATTTTGGAGGAATTACAGTTCCTCCATGAAAAATAAATGAAACAAAGAATAAAATTCACACATTCACTACCTCTTATTGTCAAAACAATTTTAGGTCTGTTAAATTATTTAAGATTAAGAATATCACTACAGTCAATCAGAATGCAATCATTCCTAATCTGCATATGCAGGGCACTAGTAAATACTGTTCTGGCTGTTAACTAAATTTTATTATAATAATTTTTTTTTTTTTTTACTTCAGTGGAACTTTAACACAAGATACTGTTAGTACACTGTTAAAAATATTTTCCTAGGGAGCTTCCCTGGTGGTCCAGTGGTTAAGAATCTGCCTTGCAATGCTGGGGACACAGGTTCCATCTCTGGTCCAAGAGGATCCTACATACCTCAGAGCAACTAAGCCCAGTGCTACAACTACTGAAGCCCACACACTGTGCTTAGCAACAAGAGAAGCCACCGTAATGAGAACCCCGCACAGCACAACGAAGGGCAGCCTCTGCTTATTGCAACTAGAGAAAGCCTGCACAAAGCAACAAGACCCAACACAGCCAAACGATAAAATAAATAAATACAAAAATAAAAAATTTTTCCTAGACTGCTGGGTAAGAGATTAAACACAAATGTGATATCCAGTCTCCCTCCAGGAAATTACTAAGGGGAAGAAAAGTATTTTAAATCAAATGAGGAACATGTAGGAGTGTTTCAAAGACCTTTCCCTTAATCTCTCTCTTCTGTTAAAGTTCTGGATCTTGATAACCCTATATGCAAAACAGAAAAAGAGACACAGATGTATAGAACAGACTTTTGGACTCTGTGGGAGAAGGCGAGGGTGGGATGTTTCAACAGAACAGCATCATAACATGTATATTATCTAGGGTGAAACAGATCACCAGCCCAGGTTGGATGCATGAGACAAGTGCTTGGACCTGGTGCACTGGGAAGACCCAGAGGGATGGGGTGGAGAGGGAGGTGGGAGGGGGGATCGGGATGGGGAATACATGTATATCCATGGCTGATTCATGTCAATGTATGACAAAAACCAAAAAAAAAAGTTCTGGATCTTTTAGGGCCTTGTTAGGTGGTGGGCAGCAGATTGGGAAAGTCACCTTGGCTTAAACAATGAACAGCTGGATGTTTCTCCATAATACCTAATGACACCACTTTCGGGGATGTTGATTACGTCTACCCAAAGAAAGCTTCCTGTCTTCCTATTTTCCACTAAAATTTGGCATTCTTGACAGAATTTCTTTTCTAACATAGAAATGGGGTTAAGAAGTTGACAAAAAAATAAGAGATGATGACTAACAAGTTGTGCCCCTCCTGTAAGAGTGCTGAAAATAAAAGACTAAAAAATGGTCATGGATGCACTGCAGAGGTACCTGCTGGGTAACTAGCAGTACAAAGAACATCATAATGTGAGAGCTTTCCATACACAATTTTCTTTCCCTAAGAAGTTCTCACAGATCTTAGGTGGGAAGGTCTCAGGTTAAGGAAAAGAGGCTGTCAGGACGCTCAAATGCCCATCATAGGCCTACCCCTTCACACCCACCTCGTCATCGCTGTTAGACGTCTCTGAGTCTGAGGAGGCAGCAGGCTGACTCACAGGTGGCTCCTTCTCTTCAGAGTCACTTCGCTTCCGCTTTGCCAGGGACAAGAGTTCCTGAGAGGGCAAAGTAGCCACATGAGTTTTGTTTACAGAGAAAATACAGCCAAAAATATTACAATGCCCACCTTCCCTAAATCTCTTCTACCTCTTTGTGGTTGCAATCAAAAAATACTGTCATGGGAACTTTCATCACATGAACAGTCGGACTGCCACACTTCTAAGTGCTAAAGAAATGTTTTCAAAATCTGTCCTGGGAATTCCCTGGTGGTCCAGTGGACTGTGCACTTTTACTGCCAAGGGCCTGGGTTCAATTACTGGTGGGGGAACTAGGATCTCACAAGTCATAAAGCACAGGGGAAAAAAAAAAATCTGTCTCCTCAATGGGAGGTGTATGTCTGATATGGAGAAGTGACTAGAAAACTGAACAGTAGGCTACCCCCATATGTGTTAGTCGCTCAGTCGTGTCAATTCTTTGCAACGCCGTGGACTGTGGCCTGCCAGGCTCCTCTGTCCATGGGATTCTCCAGGCAAGAATACTGGAGTGGGTTGCCATTTCCTTCTCCAGGGGATCTTCCCAACCCAGGGATTGAACCCGGCTCTCCCCCATTGCAAGCAGATTCTTTACCATCTGAGCCCCCAGGGAAGCCCCAGGCTACCCCCAAATTTCCTCTAGAAGTTACAGAAGTACTGATCTCAGGACCATGTCTACAAAGGTAATCTGCTCCCTGTCCTTCGTGGTAGAGCCAATACTCTGAGCATCCTCTTACTATACGTATAATTCATGGTAAAACTGGCATCTGTGGCGCTGTTCGGAATAAGCTGACAAACTGTAAGTTTCTGAAAGTGAAAGTCACTCAGTCGTATCCAACTCTGTGACCCTACGGACTGCAGCCTGCCAGGCTCTTCTGTCCATGGAATTCTCCAGGCCAGAATGCTGGAGATCTTCCCAACCCAAGGACCGAACCCAGGTAGCCTGCATTGTAGGCAGATTCTTTACCATTTGAGCCACCAGGGAAGCCCAATAAGTTTCTGAGGTAGTTTTATGAATGTTTAAACCAGGGGGGAAAAAGTATATTTCTGGTGCTTAACCCAGGGTCAAACAGGGAGGATGCTGACCACTACATCAGAATCCTAATTTGACAACCCAAATATTTCCATTCACCATCTCTGCCTTGTCCTGGTGATTTAAGAGATTAAAGGGGAAGAGATATGCCGTTGAGTAAGTTGTGGCTACAACCAGGATTTGCTCTTTCACATGGCTCCCTCTCCTGTTAGTTCTCCCCAACTCATTTCCAATCACTCAAAAACACAGCAAAAGGATACTTGCTCTGGTTCTTGCTCCTGGATAATATCAATACCAGCCCAAAATTATATTGCACTTACCAGATGTCAGATACTTTTCTAAGCATCTAACATGTAATCTTCACAACAGCCTTAAGGTAAGTATCATCATCACCCCCATTTAAAGATAAAGAAATCTAAGCAGTAGGAAAGATTGAGTAATTTACCCAAGATAATGCAGCAAGTGTATGACAGAGTCAGGATTCACACCAGGACAGATAAAATCCTAGTTCCTATTTCAGTCATGGTTTACATTTTCCCCTTGTGCCAAAAAAAGAGAAAAATACAACTAATAAATACTAGTAGCATTATTCCTTGATGATGATGGTGCTATACAATTAAAGATTAAGTGCCAAGACAAAATTTTAAAGACTGCTATAAAATATCTGTTTTCCTCTTCCAGTCTCTTTCTATTTTAGGAGTATACCCTCCTTGGCCAGAATGAGAAAATGACCTTCTCAGATTAACAGCTGACATGATCTCGTCTTCATAAGCAGTCATGAAACGTTACTCTTCTCATTTCCTTAGACAGAGTTGGCATACTAACTTCCTGAAAAGGCTTCAGATCATAAGAACACTCTCCTTTTTTCATACCAAAATGGTAACTCCTACTGACCAAATACGAATTGCAACATATTTGTGTGCTTATAGTCTTTTAAAAATGAGTATGTCATTTACATACAGTATGTTTTATCCTGTCTTATTGACAGTTCTATGAGTTTGACAAATACAGCTGAACTACTCTCATGAACCAGATATAGGACAGTCCCATCATGCCCTCCAAATTTTGCTGTAATTTGCACTGGTCAATAGCAGTCACTACTTTTTTATGAAAAAGTAGAACATGTATGATCTTCAGCCTTTTCAGGAAGTTAGTGTTCTTCATCTCCCTCCCTCCATCCCCTGGCAATCACAGACCTGCTTTCTGTCCCTATACATCTGCCTATCATAAAATATCATATAAATGGAATCATGTAGCAGGTAGTCTTTTGAATCCGGTTTTTTAGAATAATGCATTTAAGATTAATCCATGTTGCTGAGAAAGGTATCGACAGTTTGCTTCTTTTTATTGTTAAGTAATATTTCATTGTATGGCTACACCACACTTTACCCATCTGCCAGGTGAAAAACATCTGGATTGTTTACAGCTTGGGGCAATTATTGGTTCATGTAAGGTTTTCATGTAAATACTAGTTTTTATTTCACTTGGATAAATGCCGAGGAGCGGTATTGCTGGGTTATAGTTGTGTACGGCCTTTATCTTTTTTCCACATTACTTTCATGCAAATTTATAAAAATTGGAAAGATTTCTGATTAGTAATTTTTTCCTGACCCTTTGAGGTTCACAAATAAAACAGAATTTTGTTTTGTAATAATACCAACTCATTATAACATGGATTTGGATACGTTGGCAATCAACTTCTTCCCTGAAACAGACTATTACAAGCAGTAGATACCCACTGACAGTTACTGTAACTAAAGTGTTAAGATGTTAATATTGTCTTCCTGTTAAAAAGATTCCACATGATATTAAAAACCTAAGACAACTAATAAGAACCCGTGTTAAGTTATCTGTATAGCACAAAGAACTCCACTCAAAACTCTGTAACTGACCTATATGGTTAAAGAATCTAAAAAAGAGTGAATATATGTATTACTGATTCACTTTGCTGTACACCTGAAATTAACACCACACTGTAAATCAAATACACCCCAATAAAAATTTAAAAATAAATACGTAAAAAAATAAAAGATAACAATCCAGCAAATGGCTCTTCATTAGTGGACAATTGCATCTGACAGGCACAGTCCTTCTACAGCATTAAATACCATACAAAGTACAGAGACAGCAAAGACCTTAAAAAGTGTGAAAGATACTCCTTCCACAAGCTGAGAACTGTATATGAAGTTACTGGGGAACTCATGGCACGGCTACTCTTCACAATTAAGTCCTTTATATTCTGAGGGCTCATTAATCAGCTGAACACACTAATGTGCAACAGAAACATCTTGCCAATACCGCACACACGAAGAGATAGATTTGTTACCTGTAGGGGTGGATTTATCTAATACCAAAATTCACAAAAGCCAGTTTAAAACTGATTCATGCGTGAGGGTAGATCTACCTGTAGCTCTCTCTTGCCGGGACCACTTCACTGTGCCACACTGGTTGAGATGATGGTGGTGGTGTGTGTCCAGCGGTTCTCTCACCATCCTCTCTGTATTTCATCACAGCTAGTGAAAACCTTCCTTACTTTTCTTGGTGTTCCTCTAGGATGCCACGGCAGTGTAGGGTGCCAGCATGGTTTATCAAATTGAAGCGGAACTAAAGATCTACTGAGAGTAACACCAATGCCCAACACACCGCAGGTAAGGCTGTGTAGGATGCCACATCTGGCTTCCAGAGGAGTTTCATTAACACTGCTTGATATTTAACACTCAACTAGATGGCCAAAACTCAGACCCTAACAAAGCAAGCCTAACTACACTAAGGTAATATTTATTAAAATAGTATTATTTTGGTTAAAATTAGAATTTTAATCCATCAATATGTAAAAATTCATAAACCGGAGGATTGAATTCCCCCACTCTATCATTCACAGTGCGCTTTTTGTGATGCCATGTTGGGATCAACTTGAAATAAAGCAATTTAGCTTCTCCTTACTCAAAGGAAATTAAGTCTCATCTCTTTAATCAAACCTCCCATGATCACATGAAAGTGGGATACATATTCTGTACCCCAGATTAGGAGAATAAAAGCCCATATAGATAAACCTCAGAGATTGTTTTTTTTTTTAAATAGTTAATTAGCATGTATTTTTCACTTATTCATTCCACAAATACAACTAACGTAAGTTATTACTGCCAATTAGGGTGACCAGACATCTTGGTTTCCTCAGGACTGTCCTGGTTTTAGCACTGAAAGTCCTGAATTCCGGGAAATTCAGTTCCTGGCAAGCCGGGACAGATATTCATAGTTCCCCTGCTATCAGCACCTACTATATACCAAGTTCTGAGTAGACAGTCATGAAGATACATAATCCTTTGATCTCCCAGAACTGAAAACCAAGTGAGGGGGTATATGAATAACTGATTCACTTTGCTGTACACTTGAAACTAACACAACATTATAAATCAACTATACTCCAAAAACATTTTTTTTAATAAATAAAATCAAGTGAGGGAGAGAAACAACAAATAGGTAAAGAAACAATTATATCTAGTAATAAGTGCTAAAAAGGTGGTTATCACCTTTTTGTGGATGGAACAAAGTGGATGGAACGCCTATCTGCAATAGGGTGATTGCTTCTTTGAGGCAATGGTATTTAGGCTGAGACTAGAAACCTGGCGAAAGGAGACGGGGGTGCAGCAGTCTTCTGGACAGAAGTCTACAGATAGAATAGATAAGGCCCTGAAACTGGCAACAGCTTGGCTTAACCAAAGAACTGAAAGGGAACCACTGTGACTAGAGCTTCTTAGGCAAGGGGTGGGGGGTGATGGAATGAGGCAGGTTAGAGGCAAGAAGAAACCACATCATTCCCAGGTTTATAAAGCAGGATCAGGAGAACAAATTTTATTGGAAGGCAGTGGGGAGCCTTCATCAAATGATTTTAAGCTAGGGAGGTAACCATCCCCTGACAGGGTTTTTAAAAGAGCACTCTAACAGGAATAGACTAGAGGGCCAGGGAAGAAGTAGAGAGGGGCCCACAGCA